TTGTATAGCTGGCGGTTAATCATATGTATATATATATATATATTGGTCGAAGATACCTAGCATAGTTCTGTACTTACCATGCTAATGTTTCACACTGCTGTAATACTCACATTTGACCGCACATGAAATCGATCCTAAATAGTTCTTGCAGTTAGTATGCAATACAAAAAACTAGCGATAACTGATAAGACTTGTGGCTGTCTCACTAGTTGCAAAGCCCTTTTTGTCCCCTCATTGGAGCAGATTTAGACTTTGGCAACGAAGGTCATTAAAGAAATGGTCTGTTTTTAATTAAGTTCTTCGTATTGAGCTACGCTACGTTCACTTATGCGATGTCAATACTGGTATACAACGTCCTTCGAAGCAGAAAACCGGCCAAGCAGTTAGAAGATGTGACTTCAAGCAATTGTTCAAACACGGTCACATATGGGGTATAATTTGTTTTGACATTTGCCGCATACTTTCCTTATGTACTTGAGGGACACGTTTACAAACGGAACTTAGAACAACATTTCTCTCGTGTTTAGTGTTTTAATTGGTAACAGCAAGGATTAATTACTTTATACTGAGACCATCAAGTAATGTTGATTTGATGTAGAACAGCATTTACGCACTCGTATAGGCATAACCTATCTTAAATTCCAGCTAACTCAGATTTTTATGAAGGGTGTGGAAAATTTGAAGTGCTTAATGAGGATTTTTGCGCAAACTTTTTCTAAATTACTTCAACATGGGAAAATTTGAATGAATCTGGATTTGAGTTATGTACTTTTATACAGTGTCTTCAAATGTTACATCAACGCTATCGTGTAGTTTTTCTTGAATACTTAATTATGGTTCTGACGGACTGAATCTGGGCATTTTAGGCCGCATCAACGACTTATCCAGTATTCGAGTACAAAAAGGCTAAAAAACCCGATTCTCCCGACAAAAGGGAACATCGAAGTCATTCCGCACTATACGAATGTATTGGGCCAAACGTAAAGTTTTCCTTCATCAGCGCATTCACCAACAATCAAACAGTGTACAATCATTATACAGCTCTAGTTTTTGGCATTAGTTCGGTTTGTGCAGAGGCTGAGCTCACAAGTATTCCCGGCACATTACGAGAGCGCGACGGATGGAATTGGAAAAAGAGCCATGTTGGAACCACTATTTGGCACAACCTGGCGACCTTCGAACCTCTCCCACAATGGGAAGTGGATGTCGTGTGTGTTTTGTTACCCGTAAAAGAGATTTCAAGTAATTATACTGTAATTGGAAGAAACCAATGGCGAACCCAAATGCCGCTTGAAGTTGTGCGTAATTTTGCGAGAATTACCCCATTTAAACAAAGAGAAGGTAACTGACCATTGATGTACCTTCTCGTGTTGAAGCACTGATACATACCAAGGTATAAGGATAGTTGCTTTCATTGATGCTCACCTTATTACGACGCTATAAGCTAAAAAGCGATTGGTACTGATTAGACAAATAGTGTAAATGAATGATTTTGAGTCTAATGAGACTTGTAATGAGGCACCTTGGAAATGGGTAAGATCGTTAATTCCTGTATCTGCGTTTTAAGGTGATGCTCTAATCGACAGGTTAGTCAGCATTGATCAAAGTCTCGACGATTTGATCGACGAAATAATGGGATTGGTCGGATTTTGGAGGTGGGCAAGAGGGAGTGAGGTTCAAGGCGATTCAAAGCAGTTGAGTACGGTGGAGGTGGCCTGCATGACGGAAAACGCAGGTGGAAGAAGGGGTGCAGGAGATGGCCATGCTTCTCAGTGTCATCGTGACTTCTCTTTTTGCCCTATCTCACTTGATCTCCACACGTTCGTGGACTCAACTCCTGCTGCCCCGCATCTCCCTCCACCACCACCGCCACCGCCACCACCACCGCCCGCATTGACCTGGAAAGCCAATATTCTTAATCAAAAGGTACTTTTTTACCATGTCGCATACCATACGTTTGCTTTCATACTCGTCTTTTTGTAAGCAATTGCTGCACCAAGCTCGTTTCTGATCATCAAAACGACTAAGGATGGAGTGTTTCAATTCTTAAATATATTCTTTGTTCTTAAGGAGGCTTTAGAATCGAAGAAGATTTTTGTATTACCTCCAAAAGCCATTCGAATTTCGGATATCGTAAAGGAATTCAAGTCAGGCGCATTAAAACTGCGACCAATGCACACGATTAGAGGAAGAACAGAACTGTCAGCGTGAGTCACCCGCCTTGTCGGCATTGCGATACTTTGTTAATCAGTAAATAGACCTTTTTTTTTCCACTTTAAGTTCCGGGGGGTCGAGGGAAGAGGAGAGCGGAGAGAGTGAGAATACCACTACTGTTGGAGAACCCAGCGTCTCCAGGACAAGGGATACGACACCGGTGAGACTCCATCTGATACTTCGTTGGCCCCACAGACTATACTTCTAGCTGTTAAATGAATTTGATTGGGCACCTGCAGGCATTCGGCCAACATCTACTGCGACCAACTCCATGGCGCAGGTTGGAGTGAAGTGACACCAGCTTCAAGTGCGTTATTCAGCCCTCTCCTCTTCGCCCAATTACCAGCCATTAGTCGGTGTTATTAATAAGGTAGCATTGGTGTGTATTTGTGAACATCTCCTCCAATGTACAACTCAGAGGTAACGCATTTGAAACATTTAGAGCATCGGTTTTTCACGTGACGCAACCCCGAATCTCTTAATCACCCAAAGCCTTTTGACCCCATTCTCGCGCTGGAATAGGACGGCTGTGGACAATAGGTGGGTTTTCAAGCAAATTGTGTCGAATTAGGTTATCAAAAGTAACAACAATCGCTCAGATCAGGTTGGATTAAACCGGATTAATGAGGTCAACTTTGTCGCTTTTCAGGTGGATTCTTGAAGAATTATTTCTTCATATGGGTTATTTGGAAAAAAAACTAACCCCCTTAACTTTGTTTTTGGATTATGTGCATTGGGCTAATTTCTGGGATTGAACGGTAGAAAAGTCGAAAGACCTTCACATAGGTTGATCTTCCATCTAAATTGCATTCTCTGGCCTTGCGTTCAGACACTGAGGTCGACCCCCAGCACATCGTCCTCGTCGAGCCTGGATGGCGCACCCTGAGATGTGAAACTCGATTTGTAGGCAACCACCTATTTTCTACACCCAGGTTAACCTTGAGTCGTAATTTCTAATTACAGTTACCAGGTATCATTTCGTCTACTGGTTACCAAAAAGAACCTGTCAGTTTAATTCCTGGGCAATTGCAGAAACAAACCTTGCAGTCGTGTTTCGAAATTCAGCCCAACTCCTGTAGTCACCACACACCTATTACCACCTCATCAATGCTGTTCTCAAGTGCAAGTGACGCGCCAAAGGCACCTGATCAGGAAAAGAACCGCAGCCAATGACCGGGTGAACAAATCACCTCAATCATACAATACCTGGAGCCGAATAGCCAGAGCTTCAACCATTTCAACTAGCGGATAGAACAAGCTCCCATTCAAAATTACTTTATCACACAAAGGGGACTCAAAACACCCAAAATTCGAAGACTGATAAAGTCGCCTAGGGTGCGAGACGCTTAGGATCGCGAGGGAACATGGAGACCTTTCTTATGTTGTCAAGACCCAAGAAGAGCATTGTCACGCGTTCAAGACCTAGCAAAAGAGGGTGACGAAATACGCAATTGCGGAATCGGAAATATTATTTATCGTTGAGCTTAAAAAAATGTGGCGTTGTCAGCATTACCAGACTATGCATATTGTTAAATGACAATCACACTGGCCTTAGGTCATTATTTGAGAAAAAAGAACTTACCAATGCCACCACCAGCGTGAGGCGGGCATCCATAGCGGAAGGAATCAATATACGACTGAATAGTCTTTATGTCTAAACAAAAAACAAAAGCAATCAAAGGTGAATTTAAATAAAAACCAAGTTTGCATAACGTTGATGCAGTGGAATTCCAACAAACCGATGTCGTGAGCTTTAGCTCGTTCTGTCAGGAACTCGGGATCGTGAACTCGCTGAGCGCCCGACATTATCTCTTCACCACGCATGAAGAAGTCGTAAGAATTCGAAAGGGCCTAAAATACAAAAATCTTCATTGAAGAGCAATTACAATTACACAAATTTGAAAATAAAGTTTGGAAGCAACGAATTACAGATCACTTAGAAAAACGAAAAGACCAACATGCAGTAGAGAAATAACAAGCACTTGAAACTGATTCGTTTACGGTACCCGCCAGAACCATGCACAATTAGGGACTTACAATTTTAGGGTAAAAATGAAATTTTAAAGAAACTTGTGTATGAGTCATAAACAGTGAGGAGGGTTGTGGTCTCTAAGTCGTGAATTATCCACTTAAAACGCGTCTGCAGCTCAACTTTACCTTATTGTGTGGGTCAGGCATGGTGTAAAATGGACGAATTGCTAAAGGGAATTTGTCCAAAATGTAGAAGTCTGTTCTATACTTCTCTTTCACCAACTTTCCCAGAAACTTCTCAGCTGGAGTACTCAAATCAGCGAACTCTTCCACGTCCCACCCAGCCTCTCTCAGCATTCTTATACCCTCAGCAAACTCCAATTTCAGACTAAAGTGTAAAGAATGAAAGCAAGTCGGTGAATTTCATAAAAACTTAGTGAAATATTGAGAACACACGTTGGCTCGATAAACTCGAATGGCTCTGCCTTGTATTGTTTGTTAACTGCTTCGATTTCCGCAGTATATCTAAGAGGAAAATAGTGAAGAAAACTCGCAGGGAACATCAAAAAGACAATAAAAATGCACCCACTGGCGTTGGAGACCCTTGAAGATACTGACGAACATATCAGCAATGAGATCGACGACTTCGTGATAGTGAGTCTTAAAAGCGACTTCCAAATCTAAACCAACAAATTCACACAAATGCCTATGAGTGTTAGAGTCTTCAGCTCGAAACACACCACCAATGGTGTACACCTGAAACGATAAGAAAAGCATTAAGCATTGAATTCGATAGATAAAAGATTAAGATAAGTAACATACACGTCCAAAATCAGCAGCAATCGCCATCTGTTTGTACAGCTGAGGCGATTGGGCAAGGCAGGCTTGAGAATTAAAGTACTGAAATTTGAAAACGTTGGCTCCACCCTCAGAAGCACCCCCAATTATCTTTGGGGTGTGAATCATCGTAAAACCATGATTGTCGAGATACTCCATGAAGAGATGAACAACGCCGTGTTCGACACGATAGATTGCCTGGTTGGCTGGCGTCCGAAGATCAATGAAGCGATTGTCGAGACGAGTATCTTGATTAACTCGGGACAGGTGCTGCAAAAAGGAACATGGCAAGTTACCTGTTCCAGTGTCATCTGAAAAATTAAGCCCTTCATTCCCTACATCGTCATTTTCTTCGTCCGGTCGCATAGCATCTTCGATTTGGAAGGGGAGGACAGGCGAAGAAGCGCTGATAACGAACACCTTGGTTATGTGTAGTTCGACACTGTCAGGAAAGCACCCTTCAATCGCGACCGGTGACGCCCTCACCACACCATACACGTCAACAATGGATTCCTTGGAAATGCTTGTGACAGAGAAGAACTCTTTGCCGATGCACAAATCGCATATTCAATGAAACTGATTAGTGAAACACATATAGTGGAGAATTTCAAAGTAGTGGACGATACTGGTTTGTTAAACAAATAAATTCCACAGCGGTTAACCAGTTATTAAGTAGAATAAAACAACCTTTCTACGGAAACGAACCACTTTTAATAGCAAAAAAATCTGCATCATCGCAAAATCTTACTTTCCAGCAAATTTAAGCATAGACTTCGAGACCTTCTCACCGGAAGACAAAACACACTGCAGCAAATACTGCCTATCCCTAAGAACAATAAAACACAATTTTCCCTTAGCGCGGCTGCGATGGAGACGAGCTCGAATACAAACTTCGTGATCCAAGTATTTCTTGTCAAACAGCTCGTGAATTTCAGTATAAGCGGGACCTTCCATTGATTGAGACTGGTGCATAGCGCAGACTCCGTAGAAGTCCTTTGAAAAATCCTCCTCGGGGTCGTCCAACTTCATATTATTAACCGCTTTGGTGGCCTTTTCAACATCGCCAGCGACCTGCACATCACCCCCCTTCTTTTTCCCTCCCATTTGCATGCAAGCAGTTCAAATGAGGGCCGCGGGAGCGATTTGTACAGGAGTGCATGCAAACAAAGAATAGGGAACTATTAGAATAAACATACAGCCCTTTTTTGAAAAAAGACAAAGAGCCCGTTCAGCCCAGTAAACAGCTAAATAGGCTATCAAATAACAATTCCGAAACCCAATCTTGTGCAAATTACTAGTTAGCAAATCGGCAAACCTGTTTTTCGAATGTTGCGCACAAGTACTCCGCAAATATTTGCACGCATGTCTGTACCATTATAAGCTATTTTTCAGAATCATTAAATCTAAGTTGCTTAGCACTTATATCTATTGTACAATAGCACCCCTGTCCACATTTGAAACTTTAGATCTGAGTCCAAACAATTATAGGGGATTTGGGGTGAAGCAAATAAAATGCCATGCCAATAAAATGTTTAATAATTTGTTTGTTTTACTTCAGAACAGACATCAACTTTGCCACCATTTAATTAAGTTTATTCCATCACGCTTCAGGAAGATAACTTTCAGAAAGGGCTGATGATGGGACAGCGGGCACGAAATCTGCAATGTGTTTACCCTGCATCTAAAGGTCCATAAAATTTATTACAGTGGACTATCTTTGTAATAATCAATAACCTATTGCAATGGTACAGTGGATTATGCCAATCAAGACGGGTAACTCATGTTCCAGCATAAAACCCATTTTCACGAATCTTCCGCAGGTATTCCACACTAACTTATTACACTGACTTATTTCGTCTGCAATAGCAATGCATAAATAGTTGATGTAACAATTTCCTCGCCTGCTATTCCCACTGACCTCTCACCATCCCTTGGGGAATTCATATACAACTACGATCACTAAAACCACCTAGCTTCTTAATAACTTTATACCATGCCACAAGGAAACCTCTAGTACAGAGATCGGGCCATCATGTTCATTGCTCTGTGGGCACCACACCACAATGATCAATGACCAAATATGAAACCATTAATCAACTGTTATTCCTTGAGCCATCACCATCAGCATCGGCACAATAAAGTCCCTCCAGCCAGATCCCAAAACCAGAACATTACAGTTGACAAATCCGCACACAGAATACAATAAATATTCTACTGTAAAGTGGTCGCGCCATATGCGCATACAGCTCTTTAGTTGCCACATTGTTCACACCCACAAAGACAATAAGATCATTGTGAAGCGTGAGTTTGCCAAAAAAAGTTTTACCGATTTTAACAAAGTTATAAGGAGTGGAAGAAAGGGGGGAAGAATGCTGAACAATTCACTACACTGGCATCATATACCTGGTATCAGAGAGGCGAACTCTGCGCTCGTGTCTTCCACCAAATTCTTGTTCGAGCCAGACGCATTCAACGGTTTTTCATCCTTCCACTGCTTTTGCGAGGTGCTTATCTAACAAAAAAAACCAGAAACCACTTTAAAGGTAATTACTTATGAATGCCTTCTTCGACCATAAAAAGGATTTAGAGCTATAAGTATTCGTGACAGTCCTTTGCACTGCAAAGATGTGAGTGCCTAGTAAGTAAAATCAAAAATGTTCATTTGAATGAACTACAGCGCTCGCGTCAAATTCCGTAAATTCTAATGGTCCGGTCCTTCATTGGCGCTTTAGTAAAACCATTCCTCGATGTAGGCTTTGTATACACCTTAAAGGGCAGCTCGGATTTTATGAAAACACTCTGCCCAGCCACCATCACACATGTTTACAAAATGGGAGAACCGTAGCATCGGGCAAATGCCTTACCTTGTCACCCATAGTGACAGCCATTCCTTGAGTTTTGGCGCGGATGCGTACGTGGCCAGAGACAGGGGCGCCATCGGCGGACTTCTCCAGGCAGAGGTTACCCAGTACGTGCTCACCGAAAATCGAGCGGGCGTAGAGGGTAGCACAAAGGTAGTTGCACTCCCCACGCAGCGCCTCCGGCGGTGTGAGACACTTGAAGTTGGTAATCTTCGTCACATGGTTTAGATAAGCCCGCAAGTCAGTCAGCTGCGTGCTCACCGTGACCTGGGCAAGGTAGAAATAGTTACATGGGCGCAATTGATAAAGGATGGAAAGGCACAATACCCATTTGCGAAATCATAACTGTTTGAGAGTGTACACAAAGATAGAAGCTAATTAGCATGTGGTACCTTATTTTCCCAGTCAAAATCGGACCACATGGTACGAAAATCGGCGTCGGAGCACGTAGATGGTTGGATGTACTCGAGAATGTTGATGCGAATGTCCGAGAGTACGATACAGTTGGACTCGCCTGCTGAACCTCGGGTGTCATAAACTATGTTGCCGAAAATTATCCCATTCTCCGTGGAGGAAACCTGAGGATAACAACTCAGTCGATGGATAGGGGAATTCAATTATGGGTCAAAGCGTGCTCGTATAGTCAGATGCATGTTTTGAGTTATCATAAATTCGAATTACATTTTAAATAAAGCTCTGAATTTCCATGAAACTGATGTTTTGAAAGTCTCTAGCGAAAAAGCCACATGAAGAGCCACGTATAAAATTAACGGGCACAACACAGCACCCAACGCAAACTTGGAACAAAATTATGGTCTTGAGAAATAAGAACATAAAATCTGTATCAGTCCATATACGGACTGCTTTAATTCCCACATTAAAATGCAAAACTTAGTTATGCCAAAACAACATATTTCAGAAATGACAGAGCAGAAGTTTGCGGCAACGATAACTCGCTCTACTGAGATACACTGAAGGAGCAGATCTGCCGCCACCTACCTTGATGGTAGCACAGACGTTGGCGAAGTCCTGTGCGGCCAGGGTTATGGGACGCGGCTTTTCAATGAGTTTGTGATCCCCTAAAGTGGAGAGCTCCAGAGTGAGGTTCTGCAGAGTATCTTTGGTTTGGTTGACCAGCAGAACATCTAGGGCGATATCAAATTGATTAACACTGACAAAGGCCTCTGCGTAGACAGGATCAGAGAGACCAGTGAGTTGATGCACCTTGGAGGAAAAAACCACCTGAGTTCAACTTCGAAGGCCACTCATTTCGGGGAATACACAAAAATCAACAGACAAATCAAAATCAAAGTATTCACTAAGACGGCAGATACAATAAGCGTTTCAATGGTTGATATGGAGGTTATTTAAGGGAAGCTCAGACCGGATGACACAGTGGTACAGTTTGTAAATCCATGATTTACATAATTAGATTTAATTACAAAGTGTGAGGAACTGGTAGACGCTCACAATATGTGATCAAGGATTCGTGCAAAAATCACCCACTTTTTTGAGCTTGGAGGTAGCATAGGCATCACCAGTCCTTGCTGTACCCTTGATAGCCTGGTCAAGAGTCATGGTGAAGTGATCAACCTGTTCACTCTGATCTCCTTCAGGTGGCACGAGCAACTCAAAATCGATTGAGGCGTCTACTGAATTGTTTTCGGCAGAAGATGGAGACAATACGTTGCCAGAGGCGGCAATGCGTTTTTTGGTCTCCGCCTCTTGGACATCCAACAATTCTTTTAGAAAATCGCGGCCAATTTTGCCAAAGGCACACGTCACGTGTGTGCGGGAGTCTGCGAGAGCCTGCATTCGAAAAAACATGGACTTTAATAACTATCCTACGAATTAACCTTACAGTATGGCCATGAGCCACTCTAACTACAAAGCTATCTCATAACCTCACCGACATGAAATTTTATGCACTACAGCGGATCAAAGGCTAGATGACAAGCAACCGACCTCGACATTAGAATGATAAATTGAACTTGACTAGAAGAGAGCATCCTTTCTAGACCATCAGAAGCTGATAGAGAAGTGGGATGAATGAGACTTACAACTAGGCAGGTCCACATGCGGTCAATGATGTCGGAGTTGACATGGCAAGCGACGAGACCACTACAAGCCAAGTGTATCATGCTTGAAATTATGAGCATGCACTCAGCCGAAAACCTGTTTTTTTCTGTGGCTGAGGTGTTGGTGTCAGGGTTATCCAGCAGACTGACGAAATGACAGAAGAGTTTAACCAGACACACGGAGACCACGGAACCGATAGTAAAGTTATTGGCAAAGAGAGCTGCCTGAATTACAGGACGTTTTACGTCGCCGGTAGATGCAGCCTCAGATCCTACAACAACGACAATAATGGTACATTTTAAAACTGACAAATTAGCATGATGTGCCACGATACGACTGATCGACTTAGATGAAACAGAAATAAGCACCCTGAGGTGAAAATCAAAGGCAAATAAATTGCGAAGTGCAACATTGAATGAAACAAAGGTTCAGCAAATAAAATGAGGATTGTAAGCAATTCGCATTAAACTTGACTACAGAGTAAGAGTCACGTACGGATGGTGAATGCGGATTGGGTAGCGTAGGCACCATCGACAGTAACTTTTTTAACTGCAGCCTCAGCAGGTACACCCGAGTTCTGCTTGGTGCTATCCTCCATGTTTTCTTCGCCTGTTGATCCGTTTTCCGTCATAATCCGAGACATTTCTCTTTGAACTATGGGAAGCGGACCTATACACTGTAATTTACCAAAGAGTGTATCATTATTTCTAAGGGAAGAGAAAAGTTAAAAACCAGCAAAAGGAACTTACCTGATGAATGACCAGCAAGAATTCAAGTATTTCCGATTTAGCCGTACAGAATTCCCCACAGAGCCAAATAAGATGACGCAGAACATCAAAACCAGCAACAGAAGGAAGAACCAGAAAAACTTTTTCCAGAATAAGACTTCTGTGATGGGGATGTCGGAAGACAGCATCTCGCAAAAATCGACAAATTTCTATGGCTGCCATCGAATCCTTCAATTCCACATAGGTTAAGATCTAAAAAAAAGTTAAGAAAAAATGTTTTTCGGGTTAAAATTTAGTACTGTGTGGAAGGGAGATGAACCTCATATACATAAGTGTAGCGCGTTTAACAACACTCGAACCTACATCGCAGAGCGTAGGGAGAATAGCAGGGAGGCAATTCGGAAACTTCATACAGATAGCTCGGATAGTCCGAACCAGTGCGCGTCTATAGACATCCTCATCACTGACACCTGTTTTAACTAAAGACCCATTGCCGCTTTCGGTAGATGATGCCGCGGAACCGCTGGACGCAGAAGCACTTGCTTTAATCAATTCCTTTCGCAGGAAACCAGTCAAATCATCAACTGTCCTTGTAGTGGCTAAATCAACTATTAATTCAAGTGCCTTATTTCTTAATTCCACATCCGAGGCATCTGTAAAATGTAGAAAATGAATTGATAAAAAAAACAACAGTATTTGACTACGAAATTTGAGTACTTCACAATTTTGAAAATAGGCAATATAAAGATGGAAATTCAGTAATCCTCAAAACCGAATAACCATTAATTGATAACTTGCTGAAGCACCAAAGACCCACGAAACATACTCAAAATTCGGACAACATCCATGACAAGCTCTTGTAAAATCTTTTCATGGCGGGCGCGCAAAGCAATGAGACTGTTCAGGATGACCAGTTTTGCATTGTTATCTGATTCCTTCAATATAAGATCAATGTAGCAACTAGCTGAGGCGCGAATAGCCGGAGAGGCTCCACTAAGTGTGATCAGAGTGGTTGCCGCCTCATATCTCACAGATGAGCTCGTCGAATTGAGGAGAGAGAAGACGCAGCGGATAAACTTTACCTTCTCCAAAGGGTGAGACTGGAAAACTCTGTGGATCAGCTCGACAACAACTAACTGCATGGTTTCACTGAAGGTATCCACAGCATCTATGCAACGTGAAAGGTATTGGACAGCAGTATCTTGACTGACGTGCAAAAGCATTAGGAAAGCATTTCGTTTACAGGATGGATCCTGTTCCTCCTCCAAATAATTAAGCATGCGCTCTGGAGCATCAGGAATAAGATGTTCAAAATTTTTATAAATAGTAAAGATGGCCAGGACAGCATTTCGTCGAACGTAAGCATGACGATGTTCAAGACACTGAAGGATGGATGGCATGAGAGGCTCGAGGAGTTCAGGTTCCTTCAACTTGCATAAGAATCGAAGCGTGCAGCCGCGAATGTATTCATTAGGATGTTGAAGATCACGACGATAGGCATCGCAAACAAGAATCATTTCATTTAGCAGCTTCCCCTGAGGAGAGTATTTAGGAGCAACTTCCCAAAACAAGTGAAGCAACTTCTTGGTTGTGTGATCATTAGACGGCATTACAAACCGTATTACGATCATGAGAAGGTCGCGATATTTTTCGCCATTGACAGAATTCCGAATGAGTTCTTTAAGAGCTTCACGCTTCACAATGACATTTTCATTTTGAAGGTCCTCCCGCAACTTCTGCTCTGTGTACTGTTTGCTCTCGTTGGTAAGTGAAATCAATGTGTAGCAAGCAACATCCGCACCTCCATTTGCCATGTTCCTTGAATAAGAAATAATTGATGAATCAGACGAAATCCTGCAAAAGCAGCAAACGGGGATAATTTTGAAGGTTCGACTTAAGTCGATAAATGTGGCACCCCTCAATTTAGGAGAATGCATATTTTGATCCACGAAGAATATGCACAATCTGATTTAATATAACCAATTAAAAGAACAAACTGGAAAGTAAATCCCGTAAGAACCCAGAAGGAATAAGTTTAGCGAGGATGTGAACATCTAAATCCACTAGAAGTCATTTGACGTTCCTAACAGAAATGATTGATCTCAAATTTAGTGCCTGGAAGTCATAAAAAATGTGCAGGAGCATGATTTGAAGTGAGATAGGCGATAACCGCAACCAATAAGTCCGAAATAGGTCGATAAGGCATTGATACAAGCATCTATTGTTAAGCAAATCACACACTCGCTGTCTGAGGTCTTTTAATAAAGATAAAAGTGCCTAAAGGACAACAGAGAAGCTTTCCTAGACTCCACTGTTCAATGTACTATCGGGCAAAGTACAGTCAGTTTAAAATTTCTTAGGGTACTTGGACAGATAAAACACGAAAAATTACAAGGAGCACTCTCACCTGACACGTCGAAGGGCAATAACCTAGAGCGAATAGTCCGGAGTAATATAGCATCACTTTAAACGATTCGTTTGGATAATTTAAGATACTTTACAAAACTGCCAAAAACTTTTATTTAGAATGCATTATTCACGTTTTTTTAATTTTAAAAAGTTTTAGATCCATGTGTAACTTTGGCGTTCAAAAGTCAAAATTGTAATTGCGAAATTCGAGGATCCAGTAGGTCGGCATCAGCAACGGTCTGCACAGCCCAACAAACACAACATCAGTTGGCTGCATATCTGTGGACAAGCCTGCCAGCTAGCAGCATACTTGTATGCCCCACGCAGCCGACTAACCAAACCAATACAACTTGCACGCCAAATCGCGATACCAACTAACAAACCCCTACGGTAGCACCACCCAAGGGGCTCGGCACCCAAGCGGTAACGCACACTCCCCCACCCGCGACGGAAATCCCATGCACGCATACGTCAACTTTGGGATAGACTTTACTTTCTGCGTCATACAAACAGTTTCTTGTGTTTCGAGTATCGATTTTTAAGCCTTTGTGGAGAGCAGGGCGGAGTCATCCCAGAGCGATTAAAATTGGCAGATTCATCCTCAGAAGCTGCATCTTCTGGATGCCATTTCGCAGCACGCACAAATTCTTCTGGAAGGCAAGAGGGGTCGTCAACGAGCCGGCATATACCACGAGCAACACCTTGCAAGTGTTTATCACTCCCGATGTTGTTCGAGGCAACAAGAGTGACAGCGCGACCTGCTTGACCCATCCTACCCGTTCGACCAATTCGGTGTACGTACTCGTCGAGACCCAATGGTAGGCCGAAGTTGATAACCACTTCCACCCGGGGGAAGTCCATTCCACGAGCTACAACCTATAGTAAAGACAGTAAAAATATATCCAAGAATTTGTGCTCTAAAGAATGCCGTCCAAAGAATTATTATAGGTAAAAAGGTCTAAATAAAGGAAATTAATATGAAAAATAATAAGGATTTTAAGCCATCCAACAGGAAAATTGTCAAAAATGCGCTCCTAGCATCAACAATTTTTCAACAAAGGGTTGTTTATCCATTTATCAACTAAAAACGAACGCCTACGGATGTTATTCCTTCAAATTATCCGAGGAAAAATAGATGATGGACCCGATATTTACAGTCAGTAACAACAGCAATAACTACACCGAGTAAATATGTACAATTAAGTTTGGATGACTATAAATACATAACGCAAACAACATACAGAAGTCGCCACAAGTATGTTCGCTTTGCCATCACGAAAGCGATTCACACTATTGTTTCGACGCGCTTGTGAAAGATCGCCGTGGATGGAAACTGACTTGAAGCCCTGTCTTAGTAAACACCGATCGACTCGATCGACCTCACGCTTGGTGTTGCAGAAGACCAAAATTCGCTCCTTGGAGCCGACAGACATACCCTCCAAGTCTCTTTTTACACCTCCCGAAGAAGTGGCTGCAGAATAAGAAAAAAGGCGGGTGGATACATGCGTCACGATTATACTTGTAAACTTGGGTCATAGATATAAACCCATCGAAAAATATAGGCGTATGCACAGCGACTACCTACCAGCAGCTTCAGGACTAAGGACAGTGACTAAGCGATCGAACATATTGGTCGGAAATGCATCCCGTCTACCGTTGCTCTCCTCCACCCACTCAACCGCTTGCACAATCTCTTTCGGAACAGTGGCTTTCAACTGTTTGAAAGCATCCTCACTGGAGTGCCGAGTCCGCTTGACAGCTTGACCCCAAACAGGGACAAGGATTTTCCCGGTGTCGGCGTCATCTTCATCGCTGCGAACGACGTTAAGGGAGATGCAACGCGGTCCACGGAGAAAGTCGCGAGCAAGCAAGGCAACACTCGGAGGGAAAGTTGCACTAAAGAGAGCGGTCTGTCGGCCCTCACCATCAGGCACGCCGAACTTGCGAGATTGAATAATCTTCCGCAATTGTGGCTCAAAGCCCATGTCAAGAAGACGATCGGCCTCGTCTATGACCAAGTTTCTAGAAGCATAAACAACGATTACTCAGGCTGAAAACAAAGTCTATATAATTGGGCACCAATTACTAGGCAAATAAGATGAGGTTATTTGGTACACTTGCATTAAAAACACTTGAAAAAATATTTGTTAACGAAAGAAGTTAAAGAGGGAGCGCGAATAGGAAGACTAAGTGAGATATCGCACACAAGATACGAGCAGTTTTGCAATGATAACGCCAAAAATGTCTTTCAGTTGTGTGACGTAACGCAACACATGATACTAGAGGTTAAGAACGTGCATATCGAACAAATACCTGCAGAAAGAGAGCCTGAGAAGACGCTGTTCCAAAAAATCTAGAAGTCTACCAGGAGTGGCGACAATCAAGTGGCAGCCACGGTTTAATTCGGATATTTGTTGGTTCGGTTTCTCCCCGCCATACAGAGCCACGGGTCGCACGTTAGTTCGATAACAGAGCTATACAGGTCAAAAATGATGAAATATTAACAAATATTCCACAATTGTCAACAAAACGGCTGTTTGATTGGCGCTCGTCCAAAAAGAATATAACAATAAGCAAAAGTGCTAGAGAAGGCATCACCTTGCTGGTTTCAAGCCTGATTTGATGAACTAGTTCTCGAGTAGGTGCGAGAATAAGGGCCAAAGGAAACTGAATTCGGTAGTTGCTATCTGCCTGCAGAAAAAAAGACAGGTAATTCTTGAGCATTAGGGAGGGCTGAAAACAGAACGATTTGAATCACAATTCATGCCAACAGCAGCTAAGAAGAGTGACGCAAGGACTGTTTAAACACCTAGCACACCAAAAATGCCGAAAAAGTCAAATAAAATTATTAATATTTTAACATGGGCAAAGTACGTGGTAGTAAAAGAATTTGCTCCGATCTGCTAAGCGATTGTTGAGAGAGCAAAAGAAGCCCGATATTTTGGAAGTATAATGCGAAATTTAAGTGTGGGGAAATCAACCAAAAACCTTCATTTAGTATGAATTAAAACGGCGAACCAACAAGGGCGGTCATTGAGTCTGACGGATAAGTACACATAATGCGCTGAAGAATCGGAAGAAGGTAAGCAAGAGTCTTCCCGGATCCTGTTTGCGCTGCTGCCATAAGATCGTACGACCCCACATTAGTAACATTTTCACTTGCCGGAGAGTCGGCCAGTAGCAAGGGTATGGCGTGAATTTGGACCGGAGTCATCTCGACGAGATGCAAAAGCGATATATTGTGTAGTAACTTTTTGTCAAGAGGAAGATCACCAAACTAAAGTGAAGCGGGAAGGTTTTAACTATAAAAGCCGAAAAGAAAGCAAACTGATGCAACAATCTTACTTTACTATATGTCGTATACGACAGCTTTTCACGCACGGGCTTTCCCGACGTATAGACGATTCCGCCAGACAGGAATCGTGAGCTCTCGCTGACATTAGCTTTGTCAGAAAACAACTTTTGTTCTAAAGCTTCATTTACAGGACGGTGAATCGACCACGCGGAGGGAGGAAAGAATCCCGGCGTTGTAAATGGGGTGGGATTGGTATCATTTGGAGCATACTTTTGCGCCGAATTAACACCAATACCTGCACTGGATTTGCCTATTCTAAGAAGAGAAGAGTAGGAATACCAAGGATTACGATACTGAGAGACGCCGCAACAACCACCGCAGACCACCCGAAGCAGACGTGCTCATGCTGAAACGAAGGCGACACCAAACTACCCGCCTAAACTGAGCCTTTTAGTAATGAGCGTGCATCTTATGGTCGCTTATAGAAATATTTGACACTTAAAAAATCACTGCAAGAATAAACATAGAGGTCAGCAAATGGCATTGTAAAATTTAACTATCTAGTGAATTCTAAAGAGGTGCTTTTATATCATGGTAAACTAATAATAGTTGACAATATTTGCTCCGCAAAATTTATTCACAGTTGGCTTGCTACATGCAATGCCCTTTTTTTATTCCCTTACTAGGAGGTTATTGATCAACTTAATAGCGAAAACAACCCCCCCAGCAAAGCTGCAAATATCGTAATGCGCCAAAGTAATGCTACAAAACGTACACTACACGCGGAGGGTGGCTCGAGAAGTGTATCACTTCTGCCTGAAGTCCACAACTCAAAAGGGAGACAATACCTTCGGAAACCCCACTGCCCGCACACACAAACTTAGCTATGGACAATGCATCAAATCAAAGAAGTACAACTATTGATTATTGTTTTAGTTGTTTGTGTCTTATTCCTCTAAAGCAAACAGTTGTCAGCCAACACTTAAGAACCTCCCTACAATTCGCTATATTTTCCTATTTTTTCTAGTGAGCCAAAACATGCACTATTTATAGCTTGTAATGCTTTCTTTGGATAAATAAAATATATTGTGTAACCTAGGCGTGATGACCTCTTGTCCAATCGGATCGAAGGTCCTGTGTCCTCTAGATTGCGCGTTGTTGTTGGTTTTCAGTTTGCCTATCATGGTACGTTTCCATTTTACAGGCGGTTATTCTCACTCCTAACTTCAGTTTTACTTTTCTTGTAATTTTATCCTCGTATTTGTGTAGAGTAACTTTTTCGCGACCGATAGTCCTTGCATTCACCTGGTTCCGTTTGTAGGCCATACTATTAACATAATTCTTGGCATAACTCCTAAATAGTTTTTTATTGCTGAATGAGTATGCACGAGTGATTGCACTTGTTCTGCTTGCTGCCTATGTTATGACAGTTTGCTCCGTGTCGAATCTGTGTATTATTAAATTTGTCGAATAGAATTCTTTCATGCACTGAGGATCATAAAGAAAAACACTGGATTTGCGAGACCTAAGATTGCTAAATACTGCCCAGTCGGGTCGTTTCGATTGCATTCACCTTCGTTTGTTGCTATGAAGTAAATTGGAACTGCACCACGGTGTTAGCTAAATGCTAATGGTTTATTTCCACACATAAGATATCGAAATGAAGCTTTTTGTTCCATCACCTTTTAACATTTTTTTGTTCCGAATGGTCATGTCTTGTCTTTCGCTCTCATGTCTCTGACATATAATGCACTCAGTGTTTTGTTCTAGCAGATTTATCTGATCAAATGTGAAATTATTAGATATTTCGACCTGAACTCAATTACTGGTTTTGAAATCCCTAAACTATAACATATTACTGTTATGAAGCGTTCCCTTATTTTTAGGCCTTATTTCGAAGATACCACCTCACTGCATTACTTTATATCATTTTGGTATAGGCAGTTCATTATATCTTCTTTAGACCTAAATATAATATTTTTTGACTATTTCATCCCTAATTTATGACATGTCTCCGAGATATTTGCTATTTTGACTAGTTTACACCACATTCCCTTGTTATGTATAGTTTTTACTAGTGTTTTTACGTCCATCTGCATTCTTTTATGCTGTTGCTCGGTAAGCATTTTTGTTATTTTTAGCAAGCTACTTATTTTACGGTCGTAATTTCAGAAGAGAATGTTTCACCAGTATCAATACCCATCTTCATTCGACACAGTTTAGAACATTTCCCACCCTTTTAACTTAACCTGCCTAAAGTTTTATCGTTTACTTTGTTGTTCATCGCCTTGCCTCTGCAATAAAATAGATCACATTTCTATGTAAATATGTTCTAGTGTACCTGAAGTCGGTATTTTGTCTGCTAAAACCGTCAAGCAAATGGCTTGTGTTGCTTCTATTTGATCAGACGGTGTTTACGCGCTATTGTGCTTGTTATGGCATGCACTAGTAAAACTCATGATCACTCTTGGAACAAGATGGTGTGTGGTATGGGATCTCAGATTGCAGTTGGCGAAAGTTTTTCTTCTTGGACACGTAATTTTTGCTTTAATTTCTTGGTTTAAAATCGATGTACTTTTTCCGCTATCTATGTGTAAGCTTCAAGTTTTTTCCCCGTTTCGTTGTTACATCTTGACAAAGCGTGTGTAGACGGTTAGGCTTCCTTAAATCCTTTTCCTAAGTGGTTTTTTTTAATTTTCAGAAAGTGCTCAACTGGTTTTCGGGCTTATGGCTTTCAGTGATACACGGGCTGGCCTCGGCCTTTTTATTGTTTGTACATCGTTCCCTCTTTTGGAATATCAATGTTTTGGTAACCTGATGCTCTTTTTTAAACCTTCCATCTAGTTTGATGGACCTCTTTGGATTACATTTGCCGAGTGCATGTTCACGGTAGTTGTCTGTCTCATCCGACTCAGGTCAAGTTCATTCTCCATTATTCGGAGTTTGAGGCAAGGCTTCTTTAGTGCAGCTAAGGAGCACTCTCTGGTAATTCCTTTTCACGTCGAACATCATCATAGAATATCAAATTGTCGCTTGCATTCTCTCTCATGATAATCTGCAACAATTTATGCCTTTATTACATGGATATGCCAATGTATTTCGTTGCGCGTTCCCTAGCTGTCCCCATCAGTCTGGTAAGTCGCCTCACCTGTTTCATTGGTATTATTTTAGTCCATGTTAGTGCCTCGATACCTCTCTATGTGTTTTTATTCTATCTTTCTGCATTTTTTCATTGACCTCGGACGCTACTGCGTTTTGCTTTGAAACACTTCATGTTCTCATCGTGACTGCTGTGGCTGCACTCAGTCCATTGCTACCTTATGCATGAGAAGTGTTCTTGGGTTATTGTGAGAGGACTGCAGCGTTGTCGAGGTCTTAAAATCTTTTTGTGTTTTAAATTTTGGGATTGCTCATCGTAGGAGCATGCTGCTCCAAGATATGAAAGAGAGAAGAAGGATATACTCAAAGACTTTACAATTCCCCCTTTTAGGTTTTTACATACCGTAGTCGGTCGGTGAATAAGTGCGTCGGTGTCCTTTTGGGCGCTCTTTTGGTGGTTGTTGGCTATATTGTTACACTAATTGAGGAGAATCTGACTAGTAAGCTTTGTACATATATCCGGAAATTTTTTCAATGTGCGTTACAACAATGTTTGCATTTCGCTCAGTCTACACAATCTTGATCTTACTAGTTCCTGTGCTGTTGCTTAATGGCTTCGTTCAATCTCGCATCGCCTGTTTTGTGCCTAAAAAAGCCTAATGTCGTGGGCAGCATTTCACTTCTCCCTGCGTTCAATTCAGGGACAGGAGTTATAGTGTCACTGCTTTTCTAGGTGGAAAAGTGACATCCAGTCGAAATGAATGCCTATCGTCTTATTAGAATGGTTACTAACAATGTCATCACTATCCTATCTAAGTAGCGCACAACTTGCCATCTTGCTAATCCACATGCGCTGAGCTCTTATTGATCAGTCTGCTGAGGGTCAACACACAAGTTGACTCCTAGCTTCTCATGCCTCCGATCTCCGCAGATGTAAATTAAGTTTCTTCAGTATGCAGAATAGTATTTTATTACTTGCAATGCCAGTTCGCGCGTTCAATATGCCGAATTGACAAACGCAAGTCGATGCATCAACCTCTGTCCAAGGGTCGGTGAAGTTGTATCGCGAACACCAGTGAATTCGATTTTGTGGGCACGATGAGTCTGTTGAAAACGTTAAGTTTATGCACCTATTCGGTGGCAGCATCAATCACAACCCCATTGCTAGGGGTCTTCCTAACTTTTTGTGTTTTCTCTTCTGAAAGTTAGTAAAATTTTGTTTATTTACTAAGTATAGTTGTAAATTATTCTTTTGATTGCCTCCGGGCAGAAGGTCAACTATTAAGCTTCTGATTATCATATCTCGCAGGTTTTTTACACAGTTACTTCAGCCACTTTCTATCACCTGTACTAATAGCTCATGTTAAATTTTTATTTTTATTCACTCAGTGATTATTAAGCTCTTATTTCTTTAGATCTACTAATTGCTGAAGGAATCGTTTTTGGCATTCTCGCTTCTCTGTTCGTCGTTATCTACTATCAGGAGGCATCCCATCTTGCATCTGGCAATAATTATGACGTTCATCTGAAGCAGGTTTACGTAAACAATGTCATTTGCAGCCTCTTCACATTCATAGCCATTGCTTTCACTGAGACGTCAGAACTTATGTTTCTTCCCTATTCCCTCTAGTAAGTTACTTTAGCTTCAATCATAACTTCATCATTGTGCTTTGTAGTTTCGTATGAAAGAGGAAACAGCAACTAAGGTTTTTTTGATACTTTTCTTCACATTTCAGTGTTACTTTTTTGAGTTGACCGAATAAATAACAGCGTTTTTGAATTCTTCCATGGCACAGTAGAATAATAAAAGCTTTGAGAAGTCCAGACTTTGTACATGACTGTACTTACAATCAAGTTCACACAATTAATCACGATAATATGAACCAGCTTTACACCTAGGGAGAAGCATTTTTCGCACTAAGCATTTGTACCTTGGGGTCTGCCTTGAATCCACATTCAGGTAGACGTGATGCGGGTTTTTGAGTGCATGCGCTCAATTGCATTTCATTACCTGGTGCTACGCTTGCATGCTCTACACTCCATGAGATCAATCTCCACACTTCAGTGGATATTTACATTCTCAGAGCCTTCGGCATAGTGTCGCGGCAATTGCGTATCCCCTCGCTTTAACGTGCAATGTTGCGGTTCGTGTAAACTGACACATCGGATTTGAGCTGCTTTCTAGATTTTCGCAATCACTGCTTGTGGTCTACTTTAAGACCATAATTCCTTGTGTGCTCGTATATTTTTTTCTCAACTGATCTTTCTCCCACGTGACTGCATAAACTAATTCTTATTCTCTCTCCTTAAGGAGAAAGTGCTGTTGGCTGATCTAGAAGAGTTTTTTGAAGACACTCTAATACCAACTAATTTTAACGCAATCAATACTTATTTCCCCTTTGTCATTTCAATCATCACACATGACTTTAACCTTCCCAAATACTTCCCTACGTCTGAATTTCTTTGCTGAATCAAGCCATTGATATCAAGGAAACGATTCTCAGCGTTCTTAACGTTTGACCTATTTCACGGTAGCTGCTCCAACACACCATTAGGCGTACTTTGGCTTAAAACTGTGTTTTTCTTATCGGCTGAAAAGCTTAATTGAATATTTTGCTTGAAGTCTAGGCCCCTTTTGTGTAAACAGAGTTTAACACCATCACCAAATGTACTATCACCCATGTATCCAAACGGTTGAATTTTGACCTCCGAAAGCATCTCTTGTTACGCGCACCCCATCTAGCATTTTATTTACTGGTTCAGGATACATTTCCAAAAGTGTTTCAAGTTTCTACCTTACAGCGCTTTATCAAATTTAAGGGTACATCTTGACGTACTGTAGGCATTTAAGGTCACCTCCATTTTTTTTATTATGATTTTCGGCTATTCTCATCCTCCGCAGACTGTATTTATCACACTGTCTTTATCTAAATGTACAGCCCAGAAACGGTGCTCTTCTGGTTGCTAATTGTCCTAAGCTGTATCACCTCATCCTTCGTGGGCACAGTTGTGCTTCGTGAAGTCACAACCCACTCGATGAGCCACCGTGAGTTGATTGGTCTGGTACGATCTCTCCTCCAGACTGTTCTGGCTGTGATCATTTTCCGAGTCTACACTACCGGATTTTGGTGGGTGGGTGTGCTGCTGACTGCGGCAGGAACTGCTATCTACTGGAGGGCCTACATGATTCATGTCACCGACCCTCTCGGCACAAACAGTGCTGCCAAAGACGGTCTCCCAACGGTTAATAATTTGGCTGATTGAGCTTCACTATGAGCATCATTCCTTTCTTTCCTTCTCACATTATCCATTTCACTCGGCTTCCAAGAACTCCTTAAACCATGCCCATTCTTTGTTGTAGTTCTCTTGTGTCTTTCTGCATTGTATAATTGGAAACGTTTGTGCAAATCAACTTTGAGCTACTTTGTGCTTTGGAGCGTTGCTTATGCTCGATGCAATGGTTTGGAAACCTGTGTGACAAATGCACATGTGAGATATCATTTGCAGCTCCTACTGATACGGACATTATAGATAAAGGTTGGTATTCTCGTCCCTCTGCTCCTAATACTACACACTTCGCATCATTTCATTTTTTAAAGTGGCAAAGTAGTCACACTGAGCATGCCACAACTTGGCGTACTATGACGGCAAGGCTGATAGGGTGTGGTTACTCAATTTCGTAAGAGATACCTCAGTTTTTTTAGTGCTGGCTAGAACATTTTGAAGGAATCAATCACTCTACGACAAGGTACGTCAGTGGGACAACGTCACGAACGCGTAGGTATTCGTTCCCAAAATAGAGCTAGCCCCCGTAGTGCGATTTGCCTTCTTACACGTCTGCTGGGAAACTGTTAGTGAGTGGGTGTGCTACAATCTGTGCATTAGTGTGCGGTGTGGGTTGTGGGTACATTTCCCAAGTCATCTCAAATGCCCATAACCAGAGTAAAATAGGTCATACAAATTTTGGAAGTGCGTGAACTGGTTGCTGGAAGTTTTCCACCACCATATTAGCCATACAGCGAATCGGTAGTTTTCAAATGACCCACTTCTTTTCGAGTGTTGTGTGTAATTGCAGTGGTATGAACACCTTTCACCATCATCCGGTGTGGTATCTTTTTCACATTTGGTGTTTTCAAAACTCCCTCAGTACTCTTTTAACAGGAAAAAGTTTTACCACTTCACTGCCTCAACTTTTACTTCGAGCGTGGACAGGACACTTAACCCAGAGATTTGCGCAGCGACCGCCAGCCGTCATAACACGGAGACAGAAGGAATTTTGTGGTAAATTTGCAGTCTTTTTCGATTGTTTTACAGTTTCACTCATCCCACCGATTAATTTCCCAATAAATTGCTTGCTACTTCTTAAACTGAAATTCCAGGCGGGAATAAAAAAAATTTGTGATCTTTATACCAGAGACATGGAAATTCTGAAATATTAACACGCATTTCACATAAGTTGTTACAAGTGTGGCATAAAATAGAGCACATATAGTTTGTAACAATTTCTGTTGCCAATAGTGCACAGTTATTCTCGCCGATTATACCAAGTGCACCGTGGCTCTGTAATTATAGTGGCCTGAGATTGCCTTGAAGACGAAAGAAACCGTTACACTTGAGCAGAATATGTATTGTCGACATGCAGTAGGGCTTGGGCCTACTGGCACGATCGAGAGGCCAGCCCATCCGGCACCCAACTGGGCCCTTTACCAAAACCAAGAGTTAGACAAACAACCAATACACTAAATAGCCTCTCTCCCCCTTTGAGCCTCGTCCCTGACACTCCTCTCGGTCAATCTCTCGCGTCAGCCATAACAAAATAATCGGCGCTGTAATGGAAACACCTAATAGCCAACAGTGCGCCATCGAGTTCCCATGTAACTGAGCCGATACTTGACTGCAACATCGCTGACCCCTCTTGGCAATTCAACTGGATTTGGCGTTCTGTCCTGTAGGGGAACTGGATTCGAAGACGGGGGAATGTGCTAGCCATCATGCGTGTCCACAGCTAGTCGCAGGAATACTGTCCTATTTGTAGAGTCTAATAACAAAAGACGGGATTGAACGTAGTTTCGTAAAAGTGAGGTTTTGCCTCCATCCCTTCTTGACACTTTTTTCTCACTTCAAAGCTGCTAGCCGTACGTGCCTATTTGGGTTATATCCAGTTAGTAGCGAAGTGGAAGAGGTACCGTGCGTTCACATATTTGATATCTCCATGCGGGTACGGTGGATAAATCCGGAACGAAACTTTTCTAGATGTTTCACGGCTAATGTCGCTTCAGTTGTTAAACCTTTCCAGCAGAACATGGGACTGGAGTAGGTGCCGAAGGTAGACATCATTTTTATCCCTTCTGTTAGTGATCGTCACCAATTCTTCGATCCACAGCATATGCTCTTCTTTCCTCACGCTGAGAATTATCACCAAGCAGTAGAAATGAGGATGAATATCCTTCCAGATCGAATTTACTTTTCACGACCACCAATGTAGCACCCCAAAACTTCCGTGAAGAAAGAAGACATCACTCTCAGCCAGAATATATACATTCGACACACGATAGGGCTTGGGGCTACTAGCATAGCCCGGAGGCTAGCCAACCCGGCAAAGGTATAATGGTGGGGCACCTAAGTAGCCCCTTTACCAAAACCAAGGGTTAAGCATAAAACCAACGTGCCTATTAAAGTGGCTCAAACAAGGATTTGCGATTCCATTTTGCCATTTCACTCATGTGAGTAGGAGCTGACAAAATCAAATCAAGGAGGCCTTAACGCCACTACATTCAATAATTAGTGATGCGCGGAGCAAACTTACCCACGGTAGTCCATGCTTTAACGTGGGTTCACCACCAAGGACAGACGCAGTGGTGGGCTGTAATGCGAGGCACTTTAGTTCAGGCCAGGCGACATGCAAATTCGGCTAATTCAGTCTTCTACTCACCTTCTGCTTAGTACGATGCTCCAAATACAGATATGCTAGTCACCATGACCCTACCTTCGGAGCATGCATCACGGCGCCCAAAATGACGCCAGATGATGGGTTTTTTATGGACAGCGTCTGATGTCTGAGGGTACACATTATTCGACAATGAAATGCCCACGTAGTCATGATACCCTGTGTAATTAAACATTTCTATTACTTGATTCAGGGTAAAGCACACATCCATCTGCTTAGTAGTTGGGCAATTTGGTTGAAACAGCATCAGGTCAATGTGTCCTTTAACGGTAATTTAAGGTCAAAAAACTACCACTAAGAAATCACCCGACGATTGATGATAGAATCTGACAGTAAACTAAAAGGGGCCTACTGGGAGGCATATTCTGGAAAGGGACGTGGACCTATTTTCTGCTGAAGTGTTGTAAATGCATGTTAGCCTAATCGAATCGCAATTAACAGCTGTAATGCTTTTTAAATTTCAAAGGTGCACAAGAGAGCATGGTGAGAACTCACCCTTGAGCATCCACCAACAACGTGCAGTTATGGAATCTTCAAGTGCAAGATACCTAGAAGGCACACTTCTTGCAAGAAGCCGTAATTTGCACCACTATAAATTAAGACCTTGCCAAAGCCTAATTGACAAATCGCGTTTGCTGTGTGTACACCCACGATCACCATGCTTATGTACAATGAGGCACACGGAGACCCGCTGCAAGCAAGACAAAAGAAATGAGGTGGCATAGTTGTGTGCTGAGATGGCAGAGTCTGAAGAGGTTTGACGCATCCTGTGAGCACACCAGACTCAAAATCGCATCAGAGTACGCACCCATAAGCCCTTTGTTATCCACATTCGCATTCTAGATCACTTCATGTTTTGAGGGCAAACAATGCAACCCATTTTCATCAACTCCAAAATACTCTTTTTCAGCGTCGCGGTGTCAATACTCAACGAGCAAATGCGATTTTACGCAGTATTTGTGGGCAGAAATTTTGACAACTTGTGTATGTTAACTTCATGTCGCTGTTACTTTAGCTCAGTGGAATATCGTCTTGAAATTACTGCCATTCAAGCATACACGATTGACCATGATACTGTCGTATGGCGCAGTCTGCAGAAAACTGCACAAACTACCAAAATTGTCACATCGCACATACGGGATGCGGTCCATTATACCAGACACCAGAAAAGCATAACTATTCAACGGGTATCAAATCAAGCTACCTAGTAATCTCGATCTCCGGCTTTAATAATAACCATTGCATCGTCTGTAAGATCTTTGCTACTACAATGCGCAAGACCAAATGTACGCTGACGACGTCGTTTGTATGTGACACCTCAACTTCCCTACCTCCAACCGACATTGCGCATAGGTGATAGGAGTTGGCGGTTTGTGATAACTGTGCCAAGCTGTGTGACTCTACCAGGCCGGTAGGATTGAGAATGATAGTATGGATGCAGGACACTCCTAGTATGTGGATTATTACATTCTTCATTTCTTAGTCACATCCTCAATATCGAACAATGCCAATGTTTCTACGGCGGAATTTATCTTTAAAAGTACTTAATCTGTGGCTTCACAAAGTGCCTTTATCAAGGCTGACCACATTTTCATCTCTAACCGAAAAGCTTACCTGAAATGTCATGCGCATCAATTATTGCACACATAACACTTCTGCTACAAGGATGCACATGTTTTATCGTACCCTTATTAATTTCTTTTCGACCAATTTCTGATCAAAAACGTAATGCACAAAACTGGTGATTTGAGGAAAAAGATTCGTTTTGGTGATCTTGACATCACAACGAGTACTCTGACGAGTGAACATAGGGTAGGTTGCATAACGAAAGTGGTGTCTCATTTTTCACATAAACCCAATTCAGTACATGATTTTACTATAGTATAGGAATGGGAATATTTAGGACAGTTGAGGAGATAGACACTCGGATCTGAGTTGAGTAAAAACTGACGTCATCCAACCAGCTGTATACTGCATTTTAGAAGAAATAAACAACGCAAGCCCCCGTAACCGAACCCCTTATTACAGGTTGGGATATAATGGTTTCAATTTTACAAACTTGGAGGTGCTTTTGAGGCTACTTCTCCCCTCTTTGGAGTCTACCATCCCAACTAATTTCCCGCTCCTATTTCATAGGGATGCCTTACTTCCAAGGGGAGAAGTAGGGAGCTTGGAAGGGGGTAAAATCTCGCGATAGCCGACTAGCTAGAAAAACCACCACATATTTTGACGGCGTCAAATCAACTGAAGTACTGGTTGGGTTTCATTATTTAAATACACTGGTTTCCACTTTGCGGAGATTATCCGCAAACCACGCGAAAAGTTCAAGCCCATTTCTTCGGACTCCTAAAAACCGGAAGTTGTGATACAAGTGTGTAAGCCCTAAGATAGTATGCCCTTTTTTATTGATGCTCCGCAAAGTTGCTTATCCATTACCTGTCTTCGAAAAAGTAAATTAACTTTGTGATAAGTGTTTTTTTGTCTAAATACGCTCATAGGCCACTGTCAACCGATCTCGCAATGCTTTTTTACACTCTTATGGAGACCATACATGGCCAATGGGAGTTGGGAAAATAGATTGACGAAAAAGATCGTGTGGTAACAAACCACTAGACTGAAAAATATCAACATTTGCTAAAAGCAGCCTCCATAATTTCGCAGTTGCAAAGAGGTTTGATCGCATCAGGGAATTAGGGATGGGCATGCGACCGCCCCGCCCTAAAGCTTCTGCTTGTCGGGGCAAGCGACAGTCTACCGGCGTAATTCCTCCCAAAAAACTCACATTGCAACGCGATCCCCACTTCCCACGGATTAAATTTGCCTGATCGAATTTTACTCAAAACTCAAAGCACCTCGCTGATGAGTTGATCGAGCCCTACTCAACGAAGCTTTACACGTGCTTCAAAGAGAGGCGAAATGCCACGCGCGCCTTCTCGACGTTTAATCATACCCACGTTGTGCCAGCATAAGATAAAAATACCAGGTTTCGACCGCTAAGCATCTGTCAACACTCCGGCGTGTCTTCATATCTCCGGTTCTGCTATCTACTATTTGCACTAAGTAGAACGAATGTATTCTCCTACGAAAGTAATGCGCATAATGCCTGCGCAAATTTTGAGCATCAAAATGGAAATGTCAGCATTAAATTAAGCGAAAAATACTGCCCTGACCAATGTAATTTTGCCTATTTCATTAAATAATAGTCATACAAGGTCCTGTGAAGTATAGGCAGGTGGAAGTGCGGACATTTTACCACTATCGTAAAAAACTGATAACAAATGGATCTGGGAAGAAGTTCACGGGTTTAAGCTGTAAAGAAGACCCGGAGAAAATTCACAGTCCAATTAGCACAATATACAAACGACTGTCCTCGAACTTTAAATTTTAGGATGACTTGCCATTTAAGCTTGTTTTCCTTGCAACTTGGGGCGATAAAAGAATGGAGGCAAACTCATGAGAAACACGAAACCATCCACCCAAAGAGCTAAGAATGTGACCAACAAGGTTTAAACTTAACTATTTACAGCGACATCAGCTTCAATTTTCGAGTGTTCAACCAGATACACCATCCCCGGCACTAGCCCGACGAATCTTTTCGCTGATATCAGCGGCAGCAGCAGAGGCGGCTTCGAGAGGATCGATAGGCTGGGAAGGGACTGTAGATAGCTGTGAATTTAGGGACTCGGTGGGCTCGGGTCGAGAGGTCTGACAGGAGGGAGAGCGATGACGGGAGGTGCGTCGGTGGCGGTGGTGACTACGATGTGACTCCCTCTCACTGCGTCGTCTCGATTCCCCGCTTCGAGTGGAGCGCGAGGCGCCAGCTTCGGACACCGATCCTGTAGTGGCGCCACCAGGTACGCCACTGTTTGTGCTGACCGACGGTACCAGCGAGTAATCCCGCTCACGCGACCGCTCTCGTGACCGGTCCCGACGACGCTCACGCGATCCGCGTCTCCGAGACGAGCGTTCACCGTGACGACCGTAGTCGCGTGAGGACTCCTCATGATATCTAAATTTAATTGTAGACAACCTATACAGCTTACTTTTCATTTTCATAATGTATAGATGAGCTGTGACCAAATCCCAACTCAAAATAAATTTAATTCACGAATCGTCCTGATAAAGTCACTAAATCGACATGGAAATGTTTCTGAATATTAAGAATTTGACCAATAAGATGCACATACATTCGGAATGATGCACAGTGAAAATGCTTGATAATTATTGTCAGCTAACACATAAAAAATAACCATTATAGCTTCAAAAATGAATTCCAATAAGTATGCCGACTAAGTACAAGAAAATACGCCAACTACTCAAAGATGTAATGACTTTTTACTCCATCAACCTTTGGTAATAAAAAAAACCCAACAAAACCCATTGCAACGTATGACAGAGTGCATAAACTGCCAAAAGCTTATTCAGCAATAAGCAAAAATTAGTGATCAGAGAAAGATTTGCGCGAATTCTGCTCTTTGGAAGAATCAACAATACAATTTATAAGCTTTCCCTTACGGGGGGTAAGTTGGAAAGGTAAGTAGTTTAGCACCAGACACCTCTGTTTTTGTCTGTCTTGTGCCTTAACTACCTACTTAGTACCTGATTGTCCATTGCCAAGGAAGTGTGATAGCCACATGGAGAAGCAATATTAGAAGAAAACGCAGGATGACGATGAAGTTGGGGCAGTATCTCCCCCCCTTTTACCCTGGGGTGCAAATCTTCTAACGGGTGGGTTTGCCGACATGCGTTGTCCGATGAGAATAGATCTTACGTCTGATTGATTTATTTGACCTCACTGTTTCTTAGGAAGCCGAAGCAGAAGTAGGGGAGGAAGGAGAGCTCAGCAGTAACTATTTTTTGTCTTCAGCAAGAAGTATACAATGAACAGTTACATTTGCACAGTCGTGGCGGAGTGAAGCAGTACCCGACTTGGAAAAGTGGAGTGGGTAGTAGACTTACTGCTTGAGGAGAAATAACGATATGTTCGTTCGCTCCTGGTCAGGAATCATTCAGTGAAGAATCGACACGGCATAGCGCCTTTTCATAACGTATGTGAAAAAAAGCGAAAAACAAAGCGATACACTTTGTCCTGGATGCCAACTGTTGCTCCTGGGTGCTTCATTAGCGCGATCCAAATGTCCGAGCCATTTCTGAGTAGCATGCTCTGCTACAGCATGTTCTCCAAATGCTATACCAGCCATACAAGGGGAATCCACTGCTTTGGGACTGAGTTTAACTCTATTCACACGCTTGATAAGATCGAGTCACATCCACCGATTCCAAAAAATTTTTGTGAAATGAAGAAAAAATATGACAGAACGAAGGGACAGAAGAGGTCAAAGAGTGCTATACCAATGTCTTGACACATAGTTATGCTTTGTAGCGCATGTGGACAATTGCGTGCATTTCACGATTCCCTACAGGTCACAAATTACCTCAAATGACCTGTACTAAAAACACAACACACATTCGCTCACCTAAAATTTGTGAGTCAAAGCTCCTATCTCACGAAGTACAATGGGTTCTTGTGAATTGACACAACACATCATAATGACAATAGCCACCTTCCAAACACCTAGAATTTTAAACCGATTTGCATAAAATCGTGAGATATGATATAACTGGGAAAAAAGCGGACTTCAGCCGGCTAGTTAATAGTTTCAGTTAAAGCCGTTCAAAAAATGATATACTAACCGTCTGTTGCGTCCGCCATAGTGGTAATCACGACTGCGCGATCGACTGCGACGACTCACACGATGATCTCTTCATAAAAAGAGCACATACGCTCAAAATTAGTAATGAAGCTAATGGGACTGACACTTACCAAGTAAGTATGTTAAAGCCTTTTTCCTAGAAATTAGTGAAAACGTTAGTTTATATTATCTACTCATAAACCAAATAAGTCATTTCTCGTAATTTAGCAAATTTTGTAAAAAACTAAACCTGAGCCCAAGTAAAATGACCCGCAATTGAGTCACACAAGTCATTTCAGGATGAACAATGTCAAGCATTACTTAAAGAATTCATATTATCAGGTGTCAAGATATCACACGAATATATAACTTACCGATCGTAGCGACTTTCCTGCTCTTCCTCCCCGCGATAATGTGAGCGACGACAATCGTTCAACTCCTCTTCGGAGCTTAGAAAGAAAATCAAAATGGACCATTATTAGTATCCACGCCCTGTCTACCACTAAAATCTGGAGACACCCAGACGCATTCCTTAGATTATGACTCGTTTCAACACAAGTAAAGCAGTCAACGATCCCGAAATGTAATAGAGTTTCTGCATAGAGGATGGAACTTACAATTGGTTTTCGGGAGACCTATCTCTCCGATTATCCGAATGGTGATTTCTTCCACCAGTCGAGCGAACAGACTGTCCAGGAAAAAGAGGAAGCAATCCACTTCCAATATTTGACTGTGGCCACTGATGACCTGGCTGCTGTGAACCAAATCCTGATCCAAGAAGAGGAGGAGGGACGGAAGTGTTGGTAAATCCAGGTGGTGGGAAATTCAAGGCATTGGCAACATTCCCGAATTGACTGAGGGCATCGCCACCAGTAGGCGGGGCAAAGCACGGAGGAGGAATGTTGAAAGCCTGGCCCGGTCCCAAAAGACCATTCTTCTTTTCCAATTCCTCATCGCTAACTGAAGGGGAGCGACCGCGTCCGCTAAGAACATGGATGTCCTTGTTCTGCTGTTGCTGCTGTTGGGGGAACCGCATAACTCCACGGTGACTTGCAGAAGAGAGATTTGTCAAGCCAAAACCAGCAGCGGCACCAACTAAGACAGGCTTAAGAGCTGTGTTAGCATATTCTTGACGAATAATCTTTTGTTTTTCACAGTACTGCAACCAAGTGTCTTCAGTAAACCCATAATTGAAATAGTCAGTTATATCGGCACCGGGCCTTTTCCAAGGCTTGTCATCTTCACCCAATGACGAAATATTAAATTCTATTGTAGGAACACCTTGAATACTGCCAGGGTCATTTATATTTATGCCCGGCCTTAACGCCTTTTGGCCTGAAATCAAGAAAGTATGATAATAAAACAACAAACTAAAAAAGAACAAAAACAGCGAGAACGAACCTTGAGCCCCAGCCTGTTGAGATCTGGCCTGGTAGGTTGTACCAGTTTTGTAAATACTACCCTTCGAAGGTTTGATTATTACATTAACGGTATCATCATCCTCGTCAGTGTCCTCCTCGTCACCGAATTTGTCAATTACTACGTTTGCAGATTCGTCCTTCGTAAAAAAATTATCAACGTTGGCATCGATATCCACTTCAGAATCATTCCCAATAGACGTATCAACAACGCTCACGGACGGATTAAGTGAGTTCGAGCTTTTCAATGAATCCTCGGGTAAACCACTTGCATCATTGCCATTAGCCTCAACTAAAGAAAATAGTGTGTCACAAAGGAATCACTTGAACCGGCAACGACAATTGCACCAGCGGCCAACTCCATCTTGTCGCATTAAACTCACGATTCAAACGTTGGCGCCTCCCCGACAACTGACTAAAACAAAGCTTCTTGGATTCCCTATACATCTAGCAGCAAAGTTTGGTCAAAATTTTCTTACAGCTAACATATAGTTTTAATTCACTAGAAAAAGCTTTAGCTTTGTTACCAATTTGATTTAATAATGTTGTTCAGCTATACTTTAAAATTTGTCTTCTAGCTATTTTTGTATTATTTTGTTACCCGTAAAAATAACCCTTGGTGCAAAATTTAACTTAACGCATAATTTTTTAGATTTTAAAGACCTTTAAAGCTTTTTAAATTAATTCAGTCTCTTTTTTGCTTTAGCTAGGTGTTATGATAAATTCCACCAATTATTATTACATTACCAAGAGAAAGTTTTAATTTACCTCTTGAATGGCCTCGCGCCTCAACTGTGAGTGCAGCTTTCTTGTGAGGAATGCCCCGTTGCTCCGCGCTCAAGACGAAGTACAGGAAGCGTGATTTAGACCAGATATATGAAGACCTCAAACCCGAAAATGCTTCCAAGCGTCTCCGAGAGGCGACGGAGATCGATGAGGAAAAACCCGCCCTTGGTCAACACTATTGCCTTTCTTGTGGCAAGTATTTTTGCGATAAGTCTGCTTTAGAAACTCACACTAAGGGAAAACCGCATAAGCGCCGTATGAGGAATTTAGAATCGGAGCCTCACTGTCAGGTAGTACACTTTATACTGACTGTGCTCGTCATTACTTGCTTATGCCTGTGTCCAAAGACAGTGGCGCTTGTATGTGCCACGCCTCACGGACTTTGTGCATCCCGTCCCGCATAGGGAGTCTCTCAACTAGTGCTTGCAATTTAGGAAATCGCCGATTGGGCAGCTGGAGTCGGGTCCCGCAAACTGGAGTCTGAGCACTCGCCGGGGGGAACGCGACCTTTGAAGGCGGCCCTGCGCGTGGATGAGCCGTCCCTCCCCTCCACCGATTGACACCAACTCCACCAGTGTTTTCCCCCGAACTATACTAAACCCGCTACACTTGATACGGGAAATTCTGCTCATTAAACCCTTCAGCGGTACCTAGCCTCACACTTGTAGCCGAGCCCTGAGACTTTTCCACGGACTCAAATTCCTCGGGAGCTGGCTTTTCGGTCCCCTGCCCTCCTCTTCGTGGCAAGTCTGGCGCAGGGGGGCCACGCTTGGCAAATTTCGGCGGCCGCCCACCACGATGGAGGATCCCGCAGGGTAGAGAGGCAGACCCCCACCCGTGCTACCACTTTACACGGAACCACGAATCATCTGCTTAATGTACCCCCGTACGCTTATAAAAATAGCGCTGGTTAAAGGCAGTTTATTGCACACTTTCGTTTGAGAAAAACAACTTTGTCTCTTCCGAATCCCATCTGCAAAAGAATGTGCGAATCAGAGCGATTTATCAACTTATTCAGGGTCGGTATACCCTACGTAATTACTCGCTGCAGCCAGTGAGTACTCAAACATAGGGTTGAGAAGAGGTGTAGGATTTCAAGTACATTTAAGGAAGCCCTTAAATGGTTGCGGAAATGCATCCATTTTGCCTCCTTTAGTAGCCGCGGCAGTTGCAACCACGGGGATCAGTGAAGGCTCAACATGATGCTAAAGCAGAACAAACCTTCTAGACGGCGGAAGTCCATGAGACAATTATGACCACCTAAAAGGATTTGACGACAGCTCAAATTGATGTAAAATCAGCCCTAAAACTACCACATATGCAATCGGAATAGCGTATGCGTCATCACCAGTTACTTACCGCATAAGCTTTCACGCGCAATTCATCTAAAGTGCATGAAATCGGGGTATATGAGTAGGTAAAACTTTTAACAATCAGAAAACCAGTAATTTTAATCACGGTCATAGTGGTGCATGGTCATCATCTAAGCGTGACATACCCAACGTCCCACCTTGTCAACGTGGAGGATGGAGAGCACACCACCGAACAACCTGCAATACAATAAATACTATAGAAACACACAATAGGATCAGAAATCGACACGCATCAGAGACGTCAGTCCGCCCGTCGAAGAACCTCATCAGAGACGTACCTCAAAAAGCCACGCCGTTGGCAATGCAAATTCTGCCTTCTCGTTCGAAATGCTACAGTACTTTGATCAAACAATTAGTAATTACAATCAAATCATTGTGGATGAAGTTTTTGCATACGCTGGTTTCAAATTACATTTTCAGTTAGCATTTATTTAAAAATGGGCATATTAAAATTCTGCTATCAAGGTCGTTTGCGCCTTAATTTGTCCGTTTTGGTTAAAGCTGGTGACACTAGATCCCTTGTGCATGAAAAAAATTATCTTTTTATCACGGAGGGTTAAAGCACGTTATCGAGCCGCATGATCCACAATATGGTGAACGGAGTTTTATTGCTAGCCTGCAGAAAGGCTAGAAGTCTAGGAGCACAGCTAGAGGTCTTTCCTTTAATAGGTCGATTGTGTGTTTCGCTCGGCTTTGACAGAGAGGCCACTTAGGTGCTCCGCCACTGTGTCTTCGCCGAGTGGGCTGGCCCCAGAGTCGCGCTGGTAGCCCCAACCCCTTCCGTGGTCCACTGACGGAGCTTTAAGCAATAATAATGCCCCGTAACACCATTTGGCTTAATGAAATAATGTGCTTCCTCATATACACTCTCAACTTCCAGGCTATCATCGCTGATTTAAAAAAAATAAAGGAACTCATGTTTTTAGTCTTGGAACAAATACGAAGTATACAGGACTAAATTAAACTAGTACTGTGTAATACGATAGTGGTTTATCCCTCGGTTCTGGTGAGGCGCCACTTTTGTACTTCGAATTAGCCCCCTTGTACCTCGCTGGGTGGGCTGGCCTTTTGGGCCATGCCAATAGCCCAGACACCTTCTCTGCGCTGAATATGCATTCTGCCCAAGTATTGTGTCTTCTTTCGTCTTCAGGGAGTCCCGGAACGCTACAACTGCACAGTACATACCTACTTATCCTCAAAATTATCACCACGTTTTTTGGAGGATATTCGAACCACTATCATGAGTTTTTTGATGCGTCTAAAATCACCCATATTGTTGCGCAGTCAAATAGTTCATGTATTTCCATGCAAAATTCGTCTCAATTAAGGCTTGCTGATTTTATGTCGTTCTATGCACGCCAAGCCTGCGAACTTTATGTAGTTATTGGTACCGTCTTGTCACGACTGAGTCTCCCCTGTAATGCGGAACACTCTTCACTGCATGACACTGCTCGATGTCTACTTTCACAACGTCACGACCACTGCCCACAGTTAGGTCAAATTTGAATCTGAAGTGGTTTTGGGATCGAGTTTGAAACTCAATTTCATGCTTAAATGTCGAGCCAAGTTACAATACAATAACATCTCCTATCTAAGGGTATTCTTACTATGCGAGCGACCTACTTGGACTATAGACGATCCCAAAGCAACAAATTGAACGGATTCTAAGAATAGCCTGTTTCGAGATCCAGCAAAGGGATACGCACATGAAGATTGGAGGCTGTTGTACCGACGCCACACCTAAAAGTGGTGTCGTTCTCCAATTAATGTCTGTTTATAATGTGACCAATAATGGTCGTAAAACCGTTTTTTGGACTCCTACCATTCGTAAATTTAAAAAAGCGTTTCAGCGTTAAACCTATGCACATAAGGAAACTAATAAATAATCAGAAATCTGCATTTTTACACTAAAAATACTGGTATTCAGAAGTGCGGCAATCAATCACAAACCAGTTCATTCATCTCCCTAACGTGTCGCTAGTTCCTCAAGGGCAAGAGGGATTACACGAGGAAGTTAAAGGCTTGTTTGGGGGAGGGAGAAGTCTATTGCCCTCCGACACCAAAACTGTGAATCTCGTAGAAGGCGCCTTTCTGCTGCAGGAGGGCCTGCGGTGAGCCCGACTCCACCCGCCGGCCGCCCATAATAACGACGATTTCGTCGCAGTTCATCACGGTGGTGAGTCGATGAGCGACAACGAGACTCGTGCGACCACCATTGGGCTCGCGCATTGCTTCATCCAGCGTCTGTTGTACGATCCGCTCGCTGTCAACGTCTAGTGCTGAGGTTGCCTCATCCAACAACAAGACCTTTGGTTTCCGCAGCAATGCTCGCGCGATAGCTACACGCTGCTTCTGCCCGCCTGATAGTTGAGAGCCGCCAGCGCCTACGTTAGTTTCGTAGCCCTGGAAAAGGGCCAACGTGATTAGAAACCTCAAAATGGTTGCAAACAGCCCATCTATAGCACGTGTAGAAAATACAGCCATATTCGTATAGCAACAATAGATACTGCAGTCACACCACTTGGCGCATGACATGATAAAAACAGGAACGTGAGGATGTTATCATGAGAGGCTCAAATTTCAGCTTTTCTTTCTGTGGATTATTGCTGAATTGAAGAAGTGTGGTTGGTTCAGATTTATGATTAAGTAAAGAGAAAATTCCATACCACATTTAATAAAAATATCTTTGACTTGACCAAATCACCCACGAAATGTCTAGTCCTCACTGAATTTTAAGTGAGTTGGAACAATAGCAAGTGGGAAATCGAGGAAGCACAGAACAATATGGAAACGCGGTGACTAACCTCTGGCAGTCCCGAAATGAAGTCGTGGATGTTGGCCTGCTTCGCAGCATCTATAATTTCTTCCATGGTGGGTTCGCCTTTGAGCGAGCCGTAGGCGATGTTCTCGCGAATGGTAAAATTGAAGAGGTTGGGCTCCTGCGAGACAATGCCGATCTGCTCGCGGATCCAGGCAGGGGCAAGGCTGCGCAAGTCTCGGCCATCCAGAAAGATGCCGCTGCCTGGTCCTCGGTCTTCCACATCGTAGAAGCGTTGAATCAATTGGAGCAAAGTCGACTTGCCGCATCCAGAGGGTCCGACCATGGCTACCGAGGTGCCCGGCTGTACGGTGTAGGAGAAGTTCTGTCGGACGAAGTGATACAACCACTCGGAGTTAGTATACGCACATCACATTACCTATCTGCTCTATGCGATATTTGAACAACTGCTTCCCACGTCGCTTCATGAGCCATCGCTCTGTCAAAAGCTAACCTCAGAGTGCATTTCCTTTTAGTTAACTATTACACGTGTGAACGTTGGGTGCGAATTTGATAATAAAAAAACTAAATTAACAGTGAAAAGTGCCAAGCAATTTGGCAAAATCACTTCAAATCAACGGGAGACGATGCAATTTGTACTCACAAAATTTTACGGTTACATTAAGAGCCAAACTATTTTCAGTACATACATGAAATTTAAGATGATAAACTCCATAGCCCACAAATAAGTGAATTGTAGCACCAACACCAAATACTCTTCATACGCATCACTCCAAAGACTGGTGAATTCCAAATAAAAATATCGCAATTATAAAGTGCAAAACTGACCCTCAAAATGGGATTCTTCCTTCTGGTGGGATAGCGGAAGTAGACATTTTTGAACTCAAATTTGCCCACTGGTGGATCGGTTGGATAGTCGCCCTGACCGACATCCATCTGTGTCTCTCGTTGAATAGTTGCGAGGGTCTTTTTAATGTTTCGTGAAGCCGTCGTGAAATCGGGCGCATAGGCGGCAGCTCTGCCAAGACCTTGAGCAGCAAAATTGACAGCAGAGAATATTCTACAAAGAGCAGATAGAGGCGTTCTTTCAAGCGATTTACAAAACAAGACTTTTTGGAACCCATACATGGATATGGGAAGAAAACAACCTTGAACTTCCACTGGTGTTAAGATGATGCCATTAAGAATGAAAATTCGTTTGGCATAAGCAAAGTTATCAAAGCATTAAAGTGATAAGTCTGGTGTGATGTTTTAGTTTACAAAAAAAGGTATAAAATCCAGTCAATTCTATAACTAAACAAAGTACTCATCACTCCACAAATGCTTTATTGTAGTGGCGGGAGATGTAGCAATTATGGCTCGGATAAATATGAGCAAAAAGGGATGCGGTTTTAGCAATCTTGGGCATATTAACTAGACCATTTTAAACTATAAAGCACAGCGTTTGAATTAGACAATGGTGAAGTAAGTAACATATCTATTCTTTTGTTAGGGTAAGTATTTGATAAGGAGAACTCATGCATCATGGTCTCACGTGAAAGACATTGTCAAATACGGTCTCCCATTCTGATACCAATGCTTGCAAGTGAAACCTTTGCAGTCAATTTTGGGAAACGAAACCAAACCCAATATTGCCACCTTATATGACGCACTAAGTGGAACAAACTCGGTTCCAGGGCTGCAGAAGCTTCTTATGTGGTTTGGACTGTATTTGGGGAAGATGATGCAGCAGAGCATACTACACAGATATGGCTTAAACAACTTGACTGCTCTGATGAAGCACCCAACAATACCACCACTACCACCACCAACAACAATAACAGCAGCAACAAATGACTTCTGCGACAGGTGGCAATAAGCTTCAGAGAAAGTGAATCAACTTGTTCTTCACTTCTCGCCTTCACATACGGCATGAAGAGGACGAGGGACGCTGTTGACTGTTTGCTGACTGACTCGTGTCGAGCAGTAGCCTTCTTATTCTAACGTCAAGTGAATGAACATGTCACTCTCTCCCCATGCGATCCACCCATCACCCACTCCACTCTTCCGAGGCACGCACACTTCACTCCACCAAGACTGTGCGGATGGCATTGTTCATTGTGTGCTTCTTGTTGACGACCAAACACCAGTTGTGGCTGAGATCCCCCACTTCTCTGCCACTGTTTTAGCTTCTTCAGAAACAGTGAGCACAGGCCAATCTGCCGGACTGGCGATCCATTCCTGCCACGCAACACGACACATGACCTCATGCCATCAAGCCTACAAGTTTGAGAATTTGCACCTCAGGGTAGGAGGGGAGGGAGATTCTGCCTCACCTTCATCCTCATCCTGCGTTTTCCCCTAACATTGCTGATCCAAGTGACTACCACACTTTCTTGGCATCGGACAATCAAATGCGAAGTGAACAGTTGGGGAATAAGACTGCGACAAAAGCAGAAGTGCCTAGTGTTTAATTCGCTTGAGTCTCCAACTTGTTCCTCGTTGGGGCAACCCTATAGATTACGATGTTGGTTATACCAAGGAATATAATTTTTTTTATGTGCTTTATGCATGAACTCGTCGATTTACTTCATATTTTTAATGAATCAGGTATTAAAATAGATAATGGATATTATAATAGAAACTAACCTAAAAATTGTTGGCATATCAACTTCGCCGCGGTCATATAGGTAAGCTGCCGTGTAGTAATATGCAGCAATCAGAAAGTAGAAAGTTCCATTAGCCAAACAGTGCACAATGGCAAAAAGTATGGATTGTCCATATCGGGATCTACAAATTAAGGTACAGCAATTGGTTACAAGCAAACAATGCGTTGGCTTTATGATCAGTTAGTAATTTAAAAACGCAAAGCTTGCGCAGCATCGGTCGGTGCACTTTATTCCCAATCGCATTGCTCATACTTAAATTTCAGCAGTTAATAGATTGGAAATGCTTTACCTCTTGGTACTCTTTGAGATTGTACGGAACTTCTCGTAAATGAATTGCTCCAGCCCGAAAGCAGCAACCGTGCGGTAAGAAGTGAAGGCTTCCTGTGCGACATTTGCCCCCTCAACCTGATTTTGCCCAACGCTTCCATTTATTTGACGGGTCTGGAGATGAGTTTGTAGTGACGTATCAGGAATATGAACGGAAAAGTTTATTTTTAAAACCATGCCTATAGCTTGATTGGCAAATAAGAAACCGCCAGTGTCGATAGCACCAAGGAAATGATATGACTCGACCTAACTTGCTAAAGAATTTTTATGCATTAAGTGCACACCCACAGCAAAAAAATTCCTTGAAACAGTTTTATGAAGACCCTAAGGAAACACCTTTGCCTTTGCGAAGGCTGAGAATCAATGTGCCCTGGGTTCATTGCAACTTCTAATGGCTCTACAGCCGCTACCTTCGGCTATAGAACCACTGACAGTCCTGGCAAATGAATATTACAAGCGGGGGGCTTGGACTAGAAGGCAATACCTGCAGCGAGCCTGCAACGAATAGGAAAGGGACGAAGGCCAAGGCGATGAGGCTTAGCGCCCAGTTGTAGTAGAAGGCTATCACTAACGCCGAGATCACGAGGGAAAGGCATTCGAGGAAAGTGCTCAACTGGGTTCCAGTGACCCGATGCAGACTCTGCACCTCGGTTGCCAGACGGGCGGTCAGAATGCCCGCCTGGTTCTCGGGCCGATCGAACCATGCCACTTCCTGTGAGTGGAAAGTCGATGCTGTGAGATGATATTATTATACTTAAGTTATTTCTCTAAGGCAACGCAGCAGTACAATAACGCCTTCATGTATTCACTTCATTCCCTAGCCCTTGAACCGGTGTGTATGTGGGTAGTAAATAAACAACTGACTTCAAAATAAAATGGGAATCGTTTCGATATTCATCTGCTCACCTGTTTCAATATGGCTTTGAAGAAGAGTTGTCTAGCACGCATTGTTAGACGAGCACCAGAAATACCAAGAGCAGCATTCTGAAGGAAATACAGTGAGTTTGACCTGTTTTAACAACATCACAGTAAAGTAATCAGCAGTTTATGGTAGATTGTGTAAAGCAACTTTCGTGGAGCATCAATTAACCCCATTCTGTCTCCCCACAAATCAACATTCCTCCCTCCCAAAGCCATAAGTGTAAATGGAAAATAGTTATCGATGAAATTGGTTCCCTTTTATCAGTAGTGAATTGGTAAACATAAAGTTACTGCAATGTTTAATTAGAAAATGAATATGCTGAACAGGAAATGCATGATTTCATCCTGCTCACAAAACCCACCCCACTCGCCGTAAGGAAAAGTCGTAAAAATCCTAAGATCGCAAAAATGCCACACAGAAAGGACGCCCGAGTTCTTTTGGCCTGGGGATCGGACATTGAGAAAAGCTACAAGAAAGGCAAGGGAAAACGAAGATTTAAGTAAATTTTTCAAATCTTTGGCATATTATTAACAAACACATGATGAAAAGTTACTTGCAAGTCTGGTTTAAGCACATTTAATCCATATGCTCTTCTAAGAATATATTCAAATATCAGTTGAATTATTAAGAAATTGTGTCTAAAACCACAGAGCTGTTTATCTATCTTGCTAGGAAACTGCATAAGGTCAAAAGTAACCAAAAGGGAGTGAATAAAACAATATATTTACGTTATAAATTTCCGAATAGACCAAGGAGAAGGCAGGAAGTGCGACCCCTGACAATGCGATCGCCACGAGACCGTAGGCAAGGTAGGGCCATTCCGGTTTGTTCATTGTCAGCACTTCAAGAAAAGGAGGCTTCTGTTTAGGGGAAGGGGGAAATAATCACTATGTTAGTATAGCTAACCGGCTGAGAGTTCAGGCCAATTGACCCATCGAGGTCTACACACAATAACGACCAAGTTGATTAAGCGCTTCCGCAATGAAAACCCTGTACATAGGTTCTGTTCTCCAACTCATACAACTTAACGCAAAAATGCTCGCTATATGTGGCTGTCCCAATAAGTTTGGGATGTAGGACCAGCACAGGAGTTGATTAAATTCCAGTGAATGGAGACGGAAAGTCGCAAACACTGACCTTACCTATGTAGACGGGGACAAATGCTTCACATTATACGCCTTTATAATGCAGGTTTTATTAAACGATATGATGAGATAAAAAGTAAACCTATTTACAATGCCTCAGATGCATTAGATGAGGTTGCCTTTGCGAAATCTGACGTGATTCTATTGTAGCACCTTCTTTCACTTAAAGTCAAGATGTTCCACCCATGGCAATGCCAAAAAACCTGCGCACATTCCAAAAGCTAGTTGGACGACGAAACAGAATGATGGTTCAATGAAAAATGCAGCGCATAAGTGCATTAACTCACCCCGTTTTTTATCCTAACAGGCATATCTGTGTCCGTAGAAGAAAGCGCATCATAATTAGATATCTTTGAGGCTCGAATCGAATCACCTCGAACCATTCCTTTTGAATCGCCCAAATCATTTTCTGCCTCCTCATCTTCGTCGCTTGATTCATTTTCCCCCTCATCCTCCTCGTAGAGTGGCTTTAAAAATAAAAAATAAAAACACACCGACCGTCCACCTCTAGCTTCTAATTTACATTAATGTACAAAATCTTGGTAATTTGTAGCATTCAAAAAGTATTGGTCAGAAAAAGATTCGTAGAATTTCTATTCTTTAAAGCATCCAACATCACAATCTTTAGGCTTTTCCCTACAAAACGAGTTTGAGAATTTCACTTTTACAGCACGTTTCGCCTCTAAATG